ATGAACACGTTTTGAGGGGGAATGGAGTGAGGTGTGCACTATACGTTAGGTGAATGTTTTTGAAGTCGCCAATCTCCTTCTTTCGCCTGAGAACATTTTTGCCGTGGAAAGGCTCATGATGGTGAAAATTGTTTCGAGTGCCATTCTAATAATAGAAGATTTTCATCTTAATGCATAAAAGCCTTTCAGATAAATTTTACGCACATGTCATTTTTTCAGGCTTCTCAATGTGAAGCTGGGGAAGAAGGAGAAAAATTATTCTACAAAGGAAAACTCTATTCGACGAACAGTAATCAACGGGAAATCAGACTTGCTCGAGAAGCGTGGGCCGAATTGATCAACAGCAAATACAGAAATCAAAAAACGGAATATTTGTCTGATTCTGTGAAGGTGAGACTTGAAGAGAAAGGCTTGTCACGTGACGTGTTGGATGTAATTGATTGGTGGAAGATGAAGATATCTGCAGGATCCTTGGATCACTATGGAGTGCGGGAAGGGCGGAGGAGAATGGAGTCCAAATATGAGTGGGGAATTGAAGATTGCAGGTAAAATAGTTTTTGAACTGATTTTGTTTTGAAAAAGACAAGGTTATTTTAATAAATGATAAAAATGTCTGCCTGTAGAATTCGTGGTATTCTGAAGGTAAACCAGGGTCGTAGTCAATTTTTCATACACTGAGTTTTTTACTTGAAGTTGTTTTGGTACAAGGCACCGACGCTCTCTGTCATTGAAACTTTTTCCTTTAGACTCGCGGAATCTTACTCACATCTGGTGAAGTACTACTTGGCTAACAGTATGGATGTGGATAAGCGTCTTAACTGGCAGGTTAAGGAAGTTGTTTGGAAAGGTTAGCTCTTTCGTTTTAGTTTTTATTTATTTCAGGAATCTGTCAGCGCGCAATTGATTTATAGCAGTAGTTTATTCAGAGAATTGTTTACCTGGTTGTAACATTTTCCCTTCGTTAGATTTGAGTTTCGTCTTTTTGTGAGAGTTTCATGCAACTAACCTCTTTCTGAAATTGTTGGCACAGTTATTGTGCCTCTATATGATTATTACAAAGCCTTTGTTTCTCAGCGATGGTTAATTTTTTTTTTCATTTTAAAACCTTTTCCTTGTCCTCCTAAAAAAGTTGTATTTGGATGGAATTCGGATTTTGTTTTAAGAGAGCTTAAGGATTCAAATGCTAACTAAAATTTGGCGAGGAAAGAATGTCTTGATTTATATATTTCGGGCAGGAGACAGGGTGAGATCCAACAACAGTGGACGAATTCTTCTGAAAAATCAACATGGCCTTGAGATGACCGCCAAGCACGTGATCCTTACTGTACCACTAACAGTCCTCAAAGATGGCGACATAACCTTCACTCCAGCACTTCCCGCTGACAAGAACAAGGCCATACGTACGATACAGATGCTGGGTGCGTGGAAAATCGCTTGTCGTTTCAAACGCCGCTTCTGGCCGGAGAAGCTGCATCAAATTTACAGCGTTCGTGGGTTCGCTAGTGAGATATGGACTTGCTCACATGATTGTTCCGACAGTGACGAAAAATGTCACGTGGTTGTCGGGTTTGAAACTGCCGAGCCCGCGGAAGAGAAACGGTATCTCAGCGGACAGGAAGTGTTGAGAGGATTTTTGAGTCATCTGGATGAGATATTTGGGTATGAATGTACCGCAAAGTTGAGTAGGCCCTAAGAGATTGTGTTTGTAAGAGAGGCATATTGTGTCACCAGCATTGTCCAAAAATAAGGCTAAAATTTATGCTCAGTTTTGAAAATTATGCTATTTTTACTTAATTTCTGCTTTTCAAAACCTGAAAAGCAAAATTGGAAACTGATTGATGCAATCATGGAATAGGACTGAAGTGACAATTGTTGCACTGTAATACGCCTCCTGCATTCTGTTAAGTGCTGCTGTAACTTTGCTTTTCATTCTTTCATGACAGCACTTCCTCGGACCCAAACCCTGCAGGCAACTCGTTCATGGACTTCGTGTACTTCCATTGGTCAAACCATCCTTACATTCGCGGGGGATATACCTCGCCCACTGCGCATGCTTACGAACTCCGTCGCGTGCTCGCCAGCCCTGTTGACGATCGCTTGTTCTTTGCGGGTGAAGCCACGAGTTCAAGGTCATGTTCGACTGTACCTACTGCGATCGAAACTGGAACACGCGCGGCAGATGAAGTTTGTTGTGCGGCTGGAATTCTTCCTCTTGCAAAACTTTAATCATAGCTGTTTTCCTTAAGCGCCGCTGCGGTGCCAGATTAAAGTATTAGGAACTTATTTGACAGTGTTGCCGAGGGAGAGACGTCGAGTAGTTGGAAATTAATAGAAATTGCTAATGTGGCGCCACGTGCAATTTACTGTAATCTGGGAAAGAGATTTTGATATTCAAAACATTTTATCTATATATGAAATGATATTGTGAAAAAAACCCACAGCATGCTTTCAGCGAGACACCACACTGATCAAGGATTTTCCAAGCTAACTTGATACTGAAAATGAACGAGTTAAGACTAAATTCTTAATGGCTCATCAGTCAAGTATAAAAACCAACTGATAACACTTTCACTCCCAAGAACTGATTGTTAATTCTCCCCTCTAACTTCACACATCTTCTGCTAAATAAGTTTCCAGAATTTGGTGTTAGCTCGAGATAACAACTTTTACCTGATAGTTTGAATCTTCTCACTACCTGTTTGCTTGATAACGTTTGACTGCAGTAGGAAGAAGTTACATTTTAAATCTCTTTCTGGGGTATTGTGCATACATAAAAGCTTAAAAAGGTAACATATTAGAGAGTGGACTTGCTGAATAACCACCAAACATTAAGTTCGGCTGAAAATAAGGAAATTTGCTGAAAAATAAAACCCAGAGAACAAGGAAAGGCAAAAACAAAATGAAGGTACTAATGATATGACAAGGAACAATTACTTTGATCTGTGCCCTTTATTAATGACATTTTGCGACCAAATGCCAAGGGAGCTTTAAAAATCAGTTCAAAAGTACATAGCACTTTACACTGGCATACCGTCTCCAAATAAGCAAGGAGGCTTTCAAACAAAAAGTATTAGTTCTGTGCATAGAGCTAAATGTCTTACTCCTGTTAGGACTTGCTACAAAAAGGCTTGATAAATGTCGCTCTACACAAGAGGAGCGCAGCACTTGTGGTTAATCTTTAAAATCTTAAGCTGTTTCTTCTCAATCCTGGTCTTCCTCCATTAGTCTTCTTTTGCGATCCCGTTCCCTTGCAGTCTGGCTCTCCCTAACTTCCTAACAGCTTCTACCTTTGTACCATCACTTAAGCAATCGTAACTATTTTGAGCAGTCGGCGGAGGTTAAAAATTCACTTTTTTGTAGATTATTACGACTATTACGTCACGAACGTAGAGGTTTTTCGGAGGAATTACAACAATCATCTCAGACATTTCACAAAATTTCTACATGACTAGAAATGTTTGCGAAACTACTCTGATCCGCGACATCTGGGTTTAGGAAACCCAGAATAACAAACTCAAATCCTTCCTCTCTCAGTTCAGGCTACACAGAAATAAACAGGGTAGAAAAGTCTTCAGTTTTTCTTCAAACACTCCACGAGGCATTTGTAAGCCTTTGGTCATTAGTGCGTGCTACTTTCACTTTGCCGAATAAACGTCGCTCCTGAAATACAAGTGCTTGCGTTCTCTCGCCAGGAAATTCCTTGGACAATCATGATTACTGTAGCTCGAGAATTTTCTAGTTTTTGGGCTTCTCTGGTATCATATTGCAAATTAAATAGCATTGATATGAATTAAATGGCCAGAAGATCTGAGTAACTCTCCAAGTTGTATTACTAAACAGTTTTTATTAACAGCTTGTGATGGTTTCGTAACGTTACTTGCCATAGCGATATGGTTCCATATTTCCTTCCTGGGGAATAAAAGTTTACCAGATAAGGAGAAACCCGATTTTAGTTCTTGCTGAAACTCTACTTAAGAGACCGAACCACCAATTATACGGCTTCTTTCGTCTCTGCCGACCAGTTTCAAGGAAATTCGACGAACAGCCATGGGTACAGTGAATTCAAGGATTTTCAGCCTTATTTGTCACCGTGTCGTGGATCGATAATCCTAAGTGTCTTGATTAAATTGCAAATTAAATTTATTAAATTGCAGACCGGCTAGTACTGGAGAGAGAAGAAAAGGGAGAAGAAGACGAGGGATCAAAAATTACACAGTTCCCCCAAACTAAAAATATCCTTAGAAAATGATGAACGCCAGAGCTGCGAAGAGGGAGACTTTTTCTAACTTTTTTTTTTAACTATGTATCGAAGAGACAGACAGTAAAAAAAAACACTTTCATTTGAGCTTGTTTTCCTCATTAATTGCCATGAATTACTGTTATTAAAGAACACGTCCTCTCACATACCGGTCATTTTCTTTCTTTAGTTAAATTGCAGACATTCCCAACTTGTTTCAGTTTTTCT